GTCGACGCTACGTACTGTACATAGAGAGGCCCTCGACACGCTAGCTAGTAAGAAAATGAACGGAACCATTTAAGTACAGAAGTTTGTCATGCATACCGAGAGAAGTGATCGACCGACCTCTCCTTCTCCAAGAGATTGGTCGAACAACAAGTTTTCGTATTATCTATCCGACGCTACTGGCTACATACATATACAATATGTAAAATCTCTTACAATCCCCTAGCAATTGAAATCAATTTCCACATGATATTCTCCGGCTTTATTGATGACGTTGTCAAGAAAGAATCCCGCCAATTCCTCTTGAATTGCTTTCATGCGATCTTGTTCTAGGAGTTCATCCCGCATCTGCCACGTCTAATTTGAAGAAGGGGGGTAATACATATATCAATGAAACTCAACAGAAATGACGCTGTAATAAAATGAAATTGTGAATATTATTGCTTACGCAGTTCATATTGTCTTTTAGAGTAGCCCCGTTTATTTTTCAAAGTCGCGTTGTAGATGAACTCGCACACGTAGTATCCACAGAAATCATTTCCTTGTTCCTGCCTCGAGCACTTTACGAGAAATAGAGGTCAATCAAACTGATAATGAAGCATTATAAGTGGCATTGATGAAAGTACAGCTATAGAATCAACGGGAGATGCGCGCAACTAGCTAGCTAGTAGTACTTACTTTCGGGTATGTATATCGCAGCTCATTCGGCAGTCCCGGAACTTCTGCGGTGAACTGTTTCCAAACCCTGCAAGACAAAGAAAATAATTATTATTACTTGAGATATCAGGAAATGAACAAAAGGTTGCCGATATGGTGCGATAAATGATCGATTGAACTTACTTGTTGAGCATTTTAGTCATGTCCACATAACTTTGGGCATCTTTTGGTCTCGAGTCTAAGACGTTTACTACTCCCCGCTCAAACTTAATCTCTAGAAAAACATAGTAGAATCTACGCACGCATGCATAACTCATCAATTACATTACTATGACCCCGCTCAAGCTTAATCTTCAGCTCTTTCCTCCACCTCCTGAATAGGCCTGCCATCTTCTTAAGAGCACAAGACTTGATTAATTTCTCTTTAACTGGCTTCTCCGGATCCTCCTCTGGCGGTAGGGTGAAATTTGCCTTCAGCTCAGTCCCACTACAAGAAATCTGTTAATATAGGACGGATCTAGTCCATCACGGATCAATGGAAAATTGTCATGGGTGCCCTTACATGACGGACCTAAAATCCGTCATGTATATCGCGTCATAATTTGACATCATACCTTCCTTGACGGTTCTTGACCGTCATGGATCTGCACCAGGCCCACCCAAGCCCAAAATCTATGAGGGAACAATCCGTCATGGACTGACGCCACATAGGATTTTGATTGCCAATTCGAATGACATGTCCGCCTACGTGGATACTATTTTCCGCCACAAAAATCATCATCAATTTGGGCACAAGTTAGATTTGGCTAAGCACATTAGCCCATTCATTTCTGCCTCATTAGCTGCCTAATTTTGACCAAGCATGTTTTTAGCATAATGCGTCTCACAAATCCAAATGCCAATTTTGCCCCAAGAGGAAGCATATGGAAAGTGTCAGAACATTACATAATTGATCCAGTTTGCAGCCATTCGTATGTAAATACAACATAGCAGTTTATAAAATCATCTATGAAATGATAACTTACAACATAGATTGACAAATATATCACAAAACAAGGTTAGGAACCAGTACAATCCATTTTACATCAACATAACATATAAACTATTGAGGTTGTTATTCATGTTCTTGCCATTGGTCCTCCTGTGGCAACTATCATGTCGTGGCTGATTGTGATGGTAGCACCAAGTAGCTCGCTACATAATCTTACCTGGCATATTCACAAGAACCTTGTTAGATATTTGTACATATGAATAGATCATAGAAATAAGAGAATTACAACGAAAATAAAAATGAACCATATGTTGTCCAAAATTCTTAAATCTTGAAGGGCCTATGAATGAGAATAACATTGATCTAAAAAGGAAGACTGACAAGTCAAATATAC